GCACAGGACAAACCCTCTGGCAGGAAGGGGTTTTGTTCCTTGTCATGGTCTTTGCCCAGTGTGTCCCTGTGGACAGTGCCAGGCTGGGGTCAGGCACAGGCAGCTGCCAGTACTCTCTAATCCACAGACAATTCTGGGCTCCTGGGCAAACTGCCTCTGGAGGGTTCAGGGGTCTGGTGGGTTGTTTATGGCTGATCCTAACCAGCCCAGGCCAACCCCAACCAGCCCTCCATCGCTGCTCCATCCCACACCTGGGGGGGAATATTGATATCATGTGGAAATACTCCCCTTCCTTTGCTACTCCGTCCTTCCTTATGCATCCGCGGAGCAGATTTGCTCCACCCTTTAAAGGTTCCCAACAACAGCTCTCCAGCCCGAATCCCAGCTCCCACAGACACAAACTAAACACACCCACGGCAACGGTTCCATCAGCACCTGGAATTCCGAGCTCCCCGATCCCTGGAACGCTCATCCCAACACTCCAGGCAATCTCACCTCAGCCCACAGGCTCTCCGTCCTCAGAGGGAACACACCTCTGGCACTGCCTTTCCTCTCATCCCTGCTCTCCTGCAAAACCCCCAGGGAGATCCAATCCCTCAGACCCTGCATTCCTGGGCACGAGGAGAACCGGAGTTTGAGCGGATCCCAGCGCCCTGGACGAGCGTGTTCCCACGAGCACGAGCCCGTGGCTCCATCCAGCCCATCCAGCCCTCCTTTCCCTCCAGGGAGTCCCAAACCCTCCCCCAGCTCCCCTGCGTCTGTCCCTGTCCCACAGCCCAGCCCAGCTCCAGCCCCCAGAGCTGCAAACACCTCCCTGGCTCCTGAACCCCCAAACCAATGCTCAGGCTCACCCACGGGAACCCACCTGCCCCTCTCAGCACAGCCCGACCCCACAGCTCTGGGACCCCACCGGCACCCGGCCCTTCGCCCCTGCCTCTCCACCCTTCCCAGCCCACGCGGCAAGGACCAGCCTGCAGTGGGAAAAAGAGCCCTTGCCCAGGGAGCAAATGCCAACCGGCAGGAGAAGGGAAACGTGTCCCCCCGACTCACCCCACCCCATGGGCGCCCCCGCCGGGCCCCGCTCACGCCGGGGACGATCTCCCGGAGAGCCTGAAGCTGTTCCTGCCGCGGCGTGCGGCTCTCAGGGGAGATCCGGGCGGCGCAGACCCGACAGCATCTCCGGGGCATGGCGGGACCGAGCGGGGCGGGAGCGGAGCGGAGCGGAGCGGAGCGGAGTCCCCGCCCGGGGCTGCCGCCGCCCATGAGCCGCCGAGTGGCCCGCCCCGTCCCCAGGGCGGGAAGCACCGCGGCGAGACGGGCTGCGAGTGCGGGGCGGGGGTCGGGGCGGAGGGGAGGTCAGATGATAGGAGAGATGCCTCTCTGAGGCGGGGGGGGGGGGGGGGGGGGGGGGGGGGGGGGGTTGGCGCCGCCATCTTTGCTGTGGGTTTTGAGAACTTCCGGTCAGGGCGGTGCCAGCGTTAGTGGCACCAGTCCGGGTTTTCCCCCATTCCGTACGCCGGGAGAAATCCAGTCCGGGTTTTCCCCCATTCCGTACCCCGGGAAAAATCCAGTCCGGGTTTTCCCCCATTCCGTACTCCGGGAAAAATCCAGTCCGGGTTTTCCCCCATTCCGTACTCCGGGA